TCTTGATATATTTAATAAGTTAACTCCCAAAATCATTTACTCCAGTAGAAAAATCAGAAGCCCAAACAAGGGAAGTACATGATAAACTGGGCTGGGATCATGAGAAGCGCCGGTGAAAACGGACTTAAATATTACTTTCCCCCCCTACACACAGGTCAGAAAATATCCACTTTCCTTGTTTAAAAAAATCTATTCCAGTCCTCACCACAAACTAAGAATAGGCAATTAGATGTAAATACTATCAAGTGTTTAAGCCAGAAATAAGAGATGGTAAGTTTTTGCTTGCTATTCATCATTCCAAAATTACTGCATGTGGTCACAGTGATCTCTTGTGCTCGCACTCACACATAACATCAGTATCAGGCTTGTCTTTTCCCAGAAAAGAGTCTGAAAGGAAGGGAAAATACCCTGTATGGTCCTTTCTGATAGACATACACAAGGAACTGTTTCCAGAGGGGGGAAGGCTTCAAGAACAGCAGTGAAGGTAGACAAAAAGTATCAGGATGAGGAAGAAACAGATGCAGATGAGATTACATTTTCATTTGTAGATCCATTTTCTATGGCATGGTTATAGCTGAGAATGCAATTAGCCTACAGCAAAATTCTAATCTATAATTTTGAGCAATTCAGTGAGACCTTGCATATAGACCACTTTTCTCATATAAGGCAAGCAATGCTTTTGCAATAATGAGGCAGGTAAACCAGACTGAACTGCAGACAATTTCTTTCAGATCATAACCCAGACGCCATTTTTGGATGTCACCAAAGCATCTGTGGGATAAACTTAACATGTGTTCATATAAAAGTGTGTATGTGTCTGTATATGCAAAATACAGCCCTCCTAGTCCACTCATGCAAGAAAATGGGGGGTTTGACTTATGTCAGACTCCTGTATTTAACACCCCGATTCTTGACCAAACAAGGTGGAATCTAGAACTTACAGCATAGTAGTTGAAAGTGGCCAGATCTTTCTCCATCATTGCATTATTTTGTTTTTATCTGGCAGCATTTCTTCAACTCCATTTTCTTTATTCTGGATGAAATTCTGTTTCCTGTGAAATCTACCTTTCAAATACTACTTCTTACTGCCTTCCTGAAAAACCTCTACCCTTGCTGAGGCTAACCTATATTAAACATGCATAAAGTTTTAGCACAATTTGTCCCCAACACACTTGTCTCCAAATTATTTTGGGATAAGATACTTCGGAATATGCAAATTTCAAGGTGGAAAGGCAGAGAAGAAGAGGAGTTGTGCTTCTGCACATTTCATATCAGTCTATGACCAGAGATAACCGGTTTCTTATGCCATGCTGTTCCCATGGCATGTCAAAACACATCTGATCAATGTGTCCAACATCTTTGCAGAAAAGCACTCGCCACACTCAGTAACGTAGTATGGAAACATAAAAATGGAAGCATGATTATTTTTCCATGAGCAGCATCTGTGCTAAATGTTGTCTTCATTTATGAACTGACAAGTTTCTTTGTGGAATACATTGCCAAAGTCATTTACCGATATGTCAAAATTGATACAGGATTTAGTTACGTGCTATCTACTGTTTCTGTAGTTTCCACACCCTTACTCCTCCACTAGGATATTTTTCCATATTGAACTAATTTGCAAGTTTCAGCAGTACCACAACTTTTCCTAGTTGCACTACACAATTTCCCCCCCTCCCCCCAGCCTGAGAAGTTGTATGGCAGACATCAGCCTTGACCAATTCTTTAAAAGCACTTACAAGTTTCCAACAACATTGGTTGCTCTCACACGATTCATTACCTTGCTTTTAACCTTGGTAACAAAAATCAAGTTTTAATTCCTCATGACATTAAAAACTCTGAGTTGGTGTGTCACTGAACTGCTGCCCTATCTGGAAATCAGGAGCTCAGAAACTCCTTTTCACAGCTATAATTAAGCTTTCAAATAGTAATAAATTTATCATGCATTCATTAGCTATGCAGCTGCATATTTAGCAAGATAATTATATCCTGGTAAAATGAAGCCACAGTAACACACATTCAACACCTGTATTTGTCTTGAGACAGTAAACAAGACTGCTGATTTTTTGACTCAAGAGATTATCTTGATTAAATAAAATGCAAATTAGGCAGAATCTACTATAAAGTTGATAATTCCTTTTTAATTAAAGCCTTTTATTTTTAAGTTTGAATGGACACAATTTGGTTTATTGTTTAGTACCATCAATAGGGAGGCAGAGTACCTGCTTTGCTTTTTAGCTCTAGAGAAATTTTAGACACACTGTGGTATCTTTCTTACCTTCCTGATTGAAAGCTCTGCCACCTGCTGTATCACATAGTGAATTGTGTCAGCATGTACTGATTATAAGTGACACTGATCTGGATGTATCAGATCAAAAGCTTTGTTGTTATGCTCAAAGGAAACCAGTTGGTGGTGGAAGACTCCTTAGTAAGGAATGCAAATATATGCTACATTGAGACATTCATGTTGTCTTTCTCTTCAGGCTACCTTCTCTCCTTCAAAATCTGCACTGCTAATAGCTTTGAGACATAAAAATAGCAATACTGCGTCTTCCAAAAGCCTAGCTAGCATAATACCCTGTTTCTGACAGTACCCTAAAGCAGACACCAGCAAGAAGGGTAAGAGCAAGCCAAGCATACATAAGCACTTTTTTCCAAGCAGCCTCCCTGATGCCAACCAGCAGGTAACAGTGATGCACTCCATGTCATCTGGCTCATTTCACCCCACTCCATTTCCCAATCTGGCCCTAGGAGCCTTTAATAAGCTTTACCAGGCTACCACTTTATGAAAACAGAGTCTGGTACAAATCTCCTCACTCTGTGGGGAGTGCTCTGCTTAAAACTAGGCAGTGTGTTATTAACATTTAAATTTGACCCACTGATAAAGTTGTTAGGAACATTCACTTAAAAGTCCACATATTCACAAGCTACAAAAAAGTATTTAGCACTTTACGTAAACACAGTGTCACCGTTCATAAGGCTTCACAACACAAGCTATTTACTTTCACCATTTTTTGCTAGCTTTTATGCTAAACCCATTATTTCCACACTTCCTGTCCTGTTCAATCATACAGTTTAGAAACAAAGGCTATTCCCACTTCTAACACTGATGTTCCTATATAAGATACCAAAACACATAAAAAGACTGCAAAGCCTCTGGGTAGTAGTGATTGAAGAGTTTAACTGAAAAGGCATAAGGGCATCATAATTCAGGGATTCAGAGGGCAAGCTATGTGAGATTTCTTAGATAATTGAGAATGACCCATAATTCACTAGCAGCCATAGGAAATTCTACTATCCACACAGCTTTGAGGGCAAGAAATCAAGTCAGCTGTACATGAGCTGATTTTTTCAACCTTCAAAGCAAACAAACATATCCCATCTATGAGATAATTTTATTATTTCTGGCAATAAATGTTTGATACATATATGAATGAAATACTTGGGCAAGCGGTAAATATCAGCAGTTGATATTTTTTGCTTCTGTAAAAAAAATTAAACTTTCTGCTTAGATACTAGTTTCAATTTTCTTATAAGTGTTATGAATATTTTTTAAAGAATACCCAATGTTTTTACTGTGATACACCACACATCTTCGCATGTTCAGAGTACCTTTTCATGGTCTGTTACAACTACCTGACATAGCAGTGTCATTAGTATTTGTGCTGAAGTTCAGTTTCATTTGGCAGCTCCAGAGGAACACACAGATTCCCTGGAATAATAACTGGGAGAGGAGGGAAAAAAACCGCTGCTGTTTGCAACTCTGCTTGCAAGGGCCAGCAGGCCAAGAGATGCCGCTCTCAGGAGAGTGCCTGGTAGAAAACACAGATTTCTATATTAACTCTGTAGGTCGTAAGTTCAGTTCGAACTCTGAAAGAGAATTTAAACCAAGGCATTTGCCAATAGGTCAAATAATTTTAACAGTTCATCCGTTTTCTGCACTCTATTTCTGCTGCATTTCTTTGAATACTACATGTCTACAGTTGCCGACTATTATAAACTATAAAGCCTTCTTGTTACAACCAGCTTCAAGCCGAAAACAAAATTAGAATCTCATCCAATAAAGCTCTAGATAATAGCAGAACCACTGTTTTAATGACTAAAATGAAAAAGCTTTCTTCATATCACAAAGCAGTCAGACCAAACAGAGTAAGCACCATTGTGCTAGGCTCTGCACTAACACAACAGAAGACAAGCCTCTGCACTAAAAAGCTGACAAGTCTAAATCATTTTAGGTCATGTTTCTAGAAGTCTGGGGCACGGCGTCCCACAGACTGGAGGAACTAGAGATCCTGCAGAGGGAAACAAGGGAGGGGAGAAGTCAAGTGAATCCACCGTTACACACAGGCTGAACAGCAAGCAGAATGTACCTGGGAGACAGTTTTCAGGGAAAATACTTCAGTGAACACTGATTTAAAGCAACCATAAGATTCAAAACTGGTACTTTTTTGTGAAATATTGTGCTGAAACTCTTTAGAAGCAAAGGGGATCCAGAAATTATAAACATTATAAACAATTACCATTTTTCATAGTATTTTTAATGTGTTGAAGACTTTCTCTACTGCATGACTCTACATACTAAAGTTATAGCTACAGCTTTCCTCACAGGTGATTAACCAAGCATTTCCTTTCCTTCTCTGGAAGAATATCTAGCTGAAATGTGGGGTTTAGACCAAGACTGAAAAATGAACCATTTAATAGATATCTGGAAAAAATAATTAGTATGTTAGTGAAGCTAAGTAGGCTTAGTCTAATTCTAATAATTAAGAGGATGAAAATGCTGAAAGGGATGCTTGCCCCTACCCTCTGCAGCGTGAAAAAAGTAACCATCAAATTGAAGTTCATTTAGCAAGTGCTAAAGATGAATCATGGGGGTGAGAGAAAAAGCACAAGGACATAAAAGCAAACATGCATGTGACCATGAACATACACATGCATGTTCTTATACACTGGCTACCATGTATCAGTAATAAACTGTCTGAAAAGCAGTAACGACTAACCTCCACATTTTAGTGAAACTGTGCATCAGGCTCACACAGCAAGGCAGAGCTGGAGGTTTGAGTCCATCCATTTGAAGGAGGAGGGCAGGAACACCATACAGAACAAGGTATTTCACATAAAAAAACAGTACTTGAGCTAAAGCCAGGCCACCTAAAAGAAAAAGCAAAAATAAAAAATTCATAGCTTAAACAAGTCCTGAAATACTTTTAAAACCTGTTAATACTGATTACTTCCAAACAGCCATTATTCAAAGAACTAAAGCAGGCATCATCGGTTGATGGGATATACAATACCTACTTTTGCAACAGCTATAGGACACAAGCACATGCAATTATGACTTTAGGCACACACATAGACCAAATAGTACCACCGTTCCAATACAAAGGCGTAAGTAAGCATCTGTAGTTCCACTTTCAAAAAAATATTTGGACTGTGGGTATTGACTGCTGTGAAAAACAAATACTGACTTATGCTGAGCTAGAAATCAGAACATACTTATATAAGCAATGAACATTTACCACAGGGACAATAAATTTTATCTTTGCAAAAAAACCCAAACAACCACTCTTCACTTGTTCATCCAGAACAGGTATAAACAATGGTTATCTTTGCAGCTTATCCTGACAGCTCCACAAACATCCCATGTACTGTCAAATTATTTTTGTCCCCCAAAACACCCACTACAAGATCCCTCCTGCTGCAGCCAAGGCATAGAAGACTGGAACTCCACTTAGCATAATGCTTAAGGCATATTTCAGGTTTTAAAACCACAGGACAAAGGTCTCCTTAAGGTGCTTTAGCTGCCTGATTTCCAAAGGAGAAATTTTGGCAGTGTTTGCTCACACCTTAACCCTGGGGTATGGCACAAAATGCAGCATCTTGCACAAGTGTGAGATGAAAATCATACTGGCTATTCTCAGAGTTATCACTCATGTGAGTAACAATCTTAGAATGCATTATAAATAAAGCAAGACGATTCATATTAATATTCTAAATGTTGAATAAAATAGCATTTGACCAATAATCATAAGAAAAACTTCAGTAAAAAGCAGAGGCCACCACCTTTATAGAAACTGGTGAGAGTTCACCCCTAAAAGTTCCACTGACTTTGGTGAACTTTTCCATCTGACTGACAGCTGACATAAGTAAAATCTAATCCCAAACGAGGGAAAGCAAAATTATTATAATTTGGAAGAGTAAAAAAAAATTATAAAATGCAATTGTTACATCTCCTTCCTTTCCAGTGTTTTACTTTCCCTCATTGATATTAACTAACTTGTGGTTTGACTGGAGTACTTTAGATATTTAATATAATTTTAAAACCTTCCAGAAGACTTTCCTTGGAGACAAAGTTTTCAATCTGACCCCAGCAGCAGAAGTCCATGAACATCTAAATAATCTGCTTTTTTTTTTTTTTGGCAAAGCATCTCTTTTGCATTCTGCTAACAAGTATACTATGGATGACAACCAAAAGTTAAACATTAAAAGTTCATCTAATATATAACAACCTAGGGTGAAATTCTGGCACTAATAACGTAAATTGCAAAACTCCTGCTGGCCTACATATGACCAGCATTTTGCTGCTACAATCCAACATTTTTAGTTTTAATACCATGATCCAAGTGCATGATATAAGAAACAGTTGTGCCATACAAGATAAAAACTGATGTTAGAACAAAATACCTAGACATGAAGCTTATGGTATTTTCCTTCAGGGAAGCAGTCATCTAGTATTCAATAACATTCTTCCCCAGAGGAAAACAAACAATCAGAAGAACAATTTGGATACTAGCCAATTAGCTACACATTAGATTACTGCTAAATCATCTATACAGCCAACTTTCTGCTTTAATTCCCATCTCATTCAGTTTCTCATTTCTTTTCTGACAAATTTCATTGGAGAGCTGAATGCTGACACCCACTCAAACCGATTATGAAGATCACAGCTGTCTGTGCACTGGGAAAATTCAAAATCCTTTGGCTGTGCACAATGGAAAGAGATTTAGAGACATAGACTACCACTCTCTCGAGACCCGAAAATCAATACATTTGATTTTAAATACAATAATGAAAGATTTCGAGTTCTCAGATACAAAGTTATAATACGCAAGTTTCAGAGGAAAAAAAAAGGCATTTTCACCATCTCTAATAACATACATCTAAGTTGTCATTACTGTTAACTAGCAGACAGCTCAATAGCACTGGTATCTTAAATAAATGTAGACATCACATCACCAATCATTACCTGGCACACACTAGCTAATCTGCATGTGGCAATTCTAAGACTCACAATAGCAGCAAGGTGAAGGTCCCTGTCAAAATATGTAGATTAAGTTCTCATTGGTCTTCAGTTCATCCCAGCTGTAAGAGATCTGGCCACACATGGAAAACTGAGGGCAAGATTCACAGCCATACAACAGCTGGGCAGCATTAGCAACAGGCACAGGCTTTAAATTTTCTTGCATACCCAAGACATTCCAGCTGCTTTGCACAAAGCAGCCAGAAGTACACTGCTTCACCTGATTTAAAAACATGAAATAAAAAAGAAATTTAAGATCAATGCTAAATTTCTCAAAGTCATTAACAATATCACGTAATTTGTTCTCTAGTGTTCGATTTAAAGCTTAAAAAGAACTTGCACACAAGCATTATCTTAAATTGGAAACAAGCTATATCAACTGTATATTAAAAACACACCTAAGGGAAAAAAGTATTGCAAAAATGCTTTCTTTTCCCCAGAATAAATTAATTCAAAGGATTCACAGTCAAAGTTAATTTTTTTTAAAACTGAAATGCCTTAAGGGATAAAAAAAATATCAAGTTAGAAGTACCCATACACTCTTAAACCCATGTAGTTCAACAGTCAAGCTGTTTGAAGTCCCAGATTGAATTAACTGACTTTTATAGAAATTGATATTTTCAATTTATCATCTTGCAATCCTTAAAACATTCTAAGTTTTCCTATGCTTTAAAAATGCATTTATAGACTTTCAAACATTTACCTTCCTCAAATTTACTGCATTTTATAAGTTTCATAGAGCCTTGTTTCAAGGATAATTAGAATTTAAAATATTCACAGAATTTTTTTTTTTTTAATTTTCATATTCTCAAAACTCTGCCTGATATTTTTTGACAGAAGTTATCAAACAGAACACTTTCATAAGTAAGCGACAAGAGATTTGGATCCAGGTATGAGAAACCACACTTGGCTTTTTTCTGTCCATAAACCATCACCAAAACTCATGGTCAAGAATTGTAACTTAGCACGCAATTTTGTTACGAGCACAACAGCACAAATTTACCCTTTTTGCAGCTACATTGACCCTATGGCATTAATGATTGTAGATGCTTGTTTCTGTCAAGTACCAGGGCAGGTGCAACTAGAAAACACGTATCAGATAAATATGCAATCATATTTCAAAAAGGTTGCTGACACATGGTACAAATCTAATAGGAAACAGACATTTAAAACAGCTCAGAATTTAGGGCCATATAATCCAGTTCAAAACATCAGGCTTTAGGGGCTCATTTACCCTTTCTCTTATTTTTTACATGCTTCTTCCACAGAAAAAAAAAAATAAAAATTACGCAAGGATTCCCTCAAATTAAAATCTCCATGAAAGAATATGGCTCTGCACTGGAGCAGATAGGCTACAGATGTATCTCAGCAATAATGCCAACAGTCATAAGATGCATCAGGAGTTTCCAGCTCCATTCATCAATCAATAAGAGCACGATTATTGACAAGCTTTACACACTGGGCTACAGCATTTTCTTCGCAGCAGGACACTCCTCCCTGACAAGAGCCCCAAGACTGGATCTACTATGACCTTCTTAGTTTGGTATTGATCACAGCAGGAGGCTACACCTCATGCTGGGGGAAGCTTTCACATGAACATATATGACTACCACAGCACCAAGTCAACTCTGCACAAGCTGCCAGGTAAGCAGAGTTCTGCAGCCACTGCCAGCAATCCCACGTACATCACGCTGTGCTGTCCTGGCCCCTAGTCAGGGCTAACCGTCCACTCATGCCTGCTACATTGACCTGAATTAATGCAAAAGTGACAACTCAATTCTGTTATTCCTGTCTCTAGCCATTGAAAGAGAGCATTGTGTGAGAAACATGAAGCACCCCAATTTCATTACTTGGAACAGAAAACAATGCAACTAATAATTAGGCACATACTGCTCAGCAGTGTTTTTCACTGCTGCTTGGCACTGCTTTGAAAGAGGTGCGCCGGCTCACAAAATCAAAAGGAATGATGAAAGAAAAATACTACAGGGACTCCTGCAGCCCGGCTTCATATCCCAGCGTTCCAGTAGCACAGGAGAAGCAAGAAAATTCCTAAAACATATGGAGCGGTGGCAGGAAAGTACCACAATGTTTGCCCTGGAGGCTAAGCGCTTCTTTTTAGACAAAGTTGAATAGACAAAGATCCAAAGGGAAGTTACTTAAACAAGACTAATCAGAGCTGCCAAGGGACTCTTGGTCAAGGCATAGACAGCTCTTCCAGGTTTAAGAAAACCAGGAGTTTTTTTCAAGGATACACATGCCTTAAAGCCACCTATCTTGAATACTCCCAAAATATCTACAGCAGACATTATGTTCATTAGTAAATACCTGCAGGAAAGAACTCTCACAGTTATCACATTGTACTGATTTTGGCTGGGACAGAGTTAATTTTCTTCACAGCAGCTAGTATGGGGCTATGGTTTGGATTTGTGCTGAAAACAGTGTTGATTGATAACACAGGGATGTTTTTGTTACTGCTGAGCAATGCTGACACAGAGTCAAGGCCTTTTCTGCTCTTCACCCCACCCCACCAGCGAGTAGGCTGGGGGGGCACAAGAAGTTGGGAGGGGACACAGCCGGGACAGCTGACCCCAACTGACCAGAGGGATATTCCACACCATATGACGTCATGCTCAGCATATAAAGCTGGGGGAAGAAGGAAGGGGGGGACGTTCGGAGTGATGGCGTTTGTCTTCCCAAGTAACCGTTACGCATGATGGAGCCCTGCTTTCCTGGGGATGGCTGAACACCTGCCTGCCCATGGGAAGGAGTGAATGAATTCCTTGTTTTGCTTTGCTTGCGTGCGCGGCTTTTGCTTTACCTATTAAACTGTCTTGTCTCAACCCAGGAGTTT